TTCCCTGCTCCCCCTGCCTGCTGTCCTCTGCTGCCCCCACCCCTGCCCACCACCCACCTTGTTGTTGGCCTCACAGTCCATCTCACAGCTGGTCGAGGGGTCACACTGTCAACCAAAACCAGGGCAGAGGAACAGGTTAGCAGGACTGTCTTCCCCCCAGAGTTGTCCTCCTGGCCAGGAGGAGACACGCGGGGTGGTGTTCCCAGTGAGTGGGCACAGATGCCCCAAACAGGGTGATGGGCAGTGGTGTGCGGGAGGCACAAGCCCAGTGAGGCTACTGGCACCATGTGCTGGCAGGGTTCCCCAGCTGTGTTCCCCCCTTCCCCATTCCCATCCCCACGCCCACCCCGTGCCAGCACTGCAGGAGCCCCAGGGGACATACCCGGTGGGCACCCAGCTGGTCGCGGTCTGTCCGGTTGCTTGCCAACACTTTGAACTTCTCAGCCCAGGCCTCCAGGTCCAGCTTCACCCCCACCACTGAAGCAGAGGGGAGATGGCATGAGCCCTGGTGCAGGGGGGGTGACGGAGACCCCCCCAGGCTGGTGGTGGGCCAGCCAGCCCCCTGCCTACCTGCTGGCTTCAGCGTCTTGCCCCCGATGCTGAGCTCCACAGCAGTGCTCACCAAGATCCCAATGGTGTTGTTTTCCAGGTCCAGCGCCCGGTAGCTGGCTGTGAAGGGCAGGGGTGACATCAGGGACATGTGGGACCAGTGGTAGCTTGTGCCACCCCCTGCCACCCTGAGCCAGCACCCACCATCCTGGTAGGGTGGCTTGAAGATGTAGCCTTTGTTGTCCAGGCTCCTCCGGTAGAAGCTGGCATTGAAGGGCTCTGGTTCCTCCTCCCAGTCGTCTGCAGCCCTGGGGGTGGGCAGCCACAGCCATGACTGTCACTGGGCTCCAGTCCCACCAGAGCTGTCTCTGTGGGAGCAGATGTGTCCCAGTGCAGGGTGGCCATACCCTCGCCTCTGGACACTCACTTGTTAGGGAAGACGCGGGTGATGCCTCCGTCGGTGGCTGCGAAGACAGCCAAGAGGCTGTACCTGTAAGGAGAAGGGCCGGGCCCAGCAGGCATCAGAGGGGTTACGCTCTGCCCCTGTCCCTGTCCCCACAGCCTATCCCAATGGCCCCCTGTCTCCAGCCAGTGCCGTGCATCCCAGGCCACCTCGCCTCCACATACGTGTTGAGGTCCTGGTCCTTCCAGACCCGCTCCACCAGCTGCTGTGTGATGCCCGTGTCCAGGATCAGGTTGTGCAGGAGGAAGTTGTCGCCTTGGGAGGAAGATGGAGAGGAGGAGGAGGTGAGGGCTGGCTCCATCAGGGACACCCATGCTCCCCTGCCCTACCCTGGCACCCGTGGCAACTCCCAGCACCCCAACCCCAGCACAATTCACCCCCTGACCCATTTCCTCCTTGTGCCCCCATTCCCCCCCAGCCCTCCTCACCAGCCCCTCCGCCAGCCGTTCCCAGCTACTCACACTGCTTGGAGTCTGGGGTCACCTTTTCCATGAGGGCAATAAAGTTTTCCAGGAACTCGGTGTTGTTATCCGACAAGTCGAGGTCTTTGCAATACTCTCTGGGGTTTGGGGGGACAAGGTTTGTCGTTCGCGAGGATGGAAAAGGCAAGGTCAGTTCTCCCCCGGGGGTGGTGGGGTGGGTGCTGGCCGTGCTGCCAGCGCCCGGGCTTGCCAGGGGACACGACAGTGGTGATGTGCCACAGTTCCTGCG